CATAACTGTCATGCAGCATAATACAACGCACTAGGCTTTATTTAATAAAGCTGGAGAGGGCAAAATCAGGCTCACTTTTGCACAGAAACCAATCAGCTTTCATGTTTTATTAATTCAAATGTAAGTGCAGCGCTAAAGCATAAGTGACAAATGCAATCATAAAGTGCTTATGTGAACAGAAGTGTTCATACAATATTCAAGTGAAATAAATCAAATAAAATGTCTCAGATCACATAGAGTCATAAAATCACAAAAATTCTGAATATAAATAGTGGATAGTCCGTGGCACTGCAGGTCACAGAAGTGCCAAATGATATATGTGTGCTTATTTAGCAATAATGGTGATTATACATAGTCCGTGGCACTACAGGTCACAGCAGTGCCCGGTGTTCTAGTAAACGTGCACCTGAAGACGTGCATGCGCACGAAACACGTAGGGTGGAGCCTTACATGCTGACGTCACGCCGCTGCGGCCGGAGCTCGGAGCGGTGGCCATTTTGGAGGATCCTTAGCTGGTTTTGCATAGCCCTGACCCTGGAGAAGTCCAGTCCACATCCATATAAGGTGGTGGATTCCTATGTTGGATCACGAGCACTCTTGAGCATCCCAGCTGGTACTGCTGTACCTTGTAGTTCCACGAACACCAGGCATTGCTGTGACCTGTAGTGCCACGGACTATGTATAATCACCATTATTGCTAAATAAGCACACATATATCACTTGTCACTTCTATGACCTGCAGTGCCACAGACTATCCACTATTTATATTCCAAATTTAAGAGTTTTCTATGATTCTATGTGATCGGAGACGTTTTATTGGATTTATTTCACTGGAATATTGTATGAACACTTCTATTCACATGAGCACTCTGTGATTGCATTTGTCGCTTTAGCGCTGCACTTACATTTGAACTGAATTACTGTGGGTTTGTTACCTTGCCTTTTGTGCTATCGGCTACCATATTATCTGCGCTCGCCCTCATATCTTGTGTTATATTCCATGTTTTATTGACATGTTGTTTTAATAACAAACATATTATACTTACCTACTGTGTGCAGTGGTTTGGCGCAGAGCAGCCCAGATCCTCCTCTTCTTGGGTCCCACACTGGCACTCCTGCCCCTCTCTCCTGACAGATGCCCCCACAGCAAGCAGCTTGCTATGGGGGCACCCGAGCAGGCACACTCCCGAGCCGCGGCTCTGTGCGACCATTCACACACAGAGCTATGGATTGGACATGTCCCCTTCCTCTCCTGATTGGCTCACTGGCTCTAACAGTGGGAGACAATGGAGTGGGAGTCCCCAGAAAATAGGGGGTCTTGACATCACTGGATCGGAATGGGACTCAGGTAAGTGTTAGGGGGGGCTGCTATACACAGCATAGAATGCATGAAAGTAAACAATCTGGAGCCATTAGAACCACTTTAATTGAACAAGCTGAGGTTAGAAGCAGAAGTGAGCCTGATTTTGCACTCTCCAGCTTTAGTAAATAAACCCCACTGTGTATATTATGATTTACAAAAAAAAAAATGCAGCCTGCACTAAATCTTTATGCACTGAGGTGTGTTGAAGACCATTCATTTGTGTGTTGGACCGGCTCTTAAGCAAGCCATCGATGATGTGATTTATTGCTCAATTTCCCCATCAACACAGTCGGTGTTGAGTCCCTCCCGCAGCGCTATTGTGTTCTGCTGTCAGGAAGACTTCCCTACCGGCAGAACACAATGATCACTGATGGCGGCTACAGCCACAGGCAGTAATCGCCTGCAAAAAATCCAACAAGCTGGTTGTACCGAGGCAATTGATGAATTGATTTCAATACAACCAGCCTGCTCATAGATGGATTGAATCTTGGCCGTCTATGCTGAATCAGCTGAGATTTGATCCATCTATAGTTGGCTTTACTCTTACGCTAGAGCAGGGGTCTCCAAGCTTTCTAATCAAAGGGCCAGTTTTCTGTCCTTAAGACTTTAGGGAGAGCAGACTGTTGCCAGTGTGAGCAGAAAATGTCCTGGTGTCAGCGGGAGTAAACCATGCCACATTTTTTGGTGAGTCATCGGTGTCATGGGGGGAATAGTGCCTAATCATTGGTGTCAGTGGGGGGAATAGTGCACATCATTGGTGTCAGTGGGGGGAATAGTGCCTAATCATTGGTGTCAGTGGGGGGAATAGTGCCTAATCATGGTGTCAGTGGAAGGAATAGTGCCACATCATTGGTGTCAGTGGGGGGAATAGTGCCTAATAGTGGGGGGAATAGTGCCTAATCATTGGTGTCAGTGGAAGGAATAGTGCCACATCATTGGTGTCAGTGGGGAATAATACCCAATTGTTGTCAGTGGGAGGAAAAAAGCCCCATTGTTGGTTTCAGTGGCAGGAATTATTCCCTTATTGGTGGTGTCAGTTGAAGGAATAATACCCCATTGAGGGCGCCAGTGGGAGGAATACTGCCCATCACTGGTGTCAGTGGGAAGAATTATGCTCCCAATATTGGTGCCAGTAAGTGCAATAGTGCCCCAAGGGCCAAATAAAATCAAGCAAGGGGCTGCATCATCAAGCATCAAGGCCCTGGGCTGCAGTTTGGAGACCACTGCTCTAGGATAACGACGCTCACTAAGGCCCTCTTTACAACTACGCAGTTTTCTTTTTGTCCATTTTGCAGTGCTTTTCGCAGTTTGTTTTGAGTTTTTCTACATGCGTTTTTGACACGTTTTTACCACGTTTTGCTCAGCATTTTTTTTTTAAGCAGAATTTTTTTTGTTGCTGGGCAGAATAAAAATGCAAAACACGGCAAAAATGTACTACCATGTGTTTCAGCAGCTTCTCCACTGAACTCTATTGTAGCAAAAACACTGCTTCTTGCTTTTACAAAAGTCCCTGACCCTTTCCAAAAACGCAGCAGCTTAAAAAAGCATAAATGTGAACATGTTCCATAGGAATCCATGTTAAATTAACTATAGTGTGTTTCTGCAAAAAGCACTAAAAAACGCATTGTGATCGGAGCCTAAGCCCCAGTCACATCAAAGCCGATTTTGAAACAGTGCGACTTACAGTGAAGTCGCACGATTTAAATATCGGGTGACCTGCCGATTTCAGTTGCAATTTGCAAGACATCTGACACGCATGTCTATACAAATCGCACCAAAAGTAGTGCATGTACTACTTTAGAAATCGGTGCGGCTCCAACCAAGTCAGAACCGCACCAATATGATCGTTCTAATAGCGGACAATAGGGTGCGACTTGACATACGATTTGCAAGTCTCATGGTATGCAAGTCGCATGCCAAGTCACACCTGATGTGACCGGGGGTAACTGTACTGTATCTATAGAGAAGCAGCATTGTCACCCTGGGATGTTCCCCTGATGAGAACTACAAACTCCTCCACCTTTCCCTCTCTTCTTTACATGAAGGAAGGGGTTCTGTAGTTCACAGAAGATAGCTGAGAACGCCAATAGGATTGCCTGAGATGTCAGTTTGGTGCACAGGAAGTTACAAGATCACTGGATTTTTGAAAAGCACGACAAGTATTTGTTTCTTACAGAAAACCAAGTCCCTCTACTGGGACTAGAACTAGTAAGCTGCAAGATATTGGGTTTAGGTATGAGGTTTAGGTTTAGGATGTAAAGCGGTATTAAACCCAAAAATGGAATATATAGCAGCTTACCAATCATTAGATGGTTGCGTGGCTGCATCTGTTTTTTTTTCTGTTTCTGTCTGTTTTTTCCTTCTATTTTCACCTGGTGATCTGGCCAGTAACACACCTCCTGTATTAGAGTGCCCCCACTCTAGAAGAAGAAGCACAGGGGAACCTTTGAACAGCAGCATTGTTAACTGGGGGAAGGGAGTGTTAGATGAACTAGCAGATTTAAATACACAAACAAATTGAAGCCAAACTCCAGCTAATACTTTATAAGCAGTTACAGTAAACAGTTTTTTTTCTTTTGGGATAACGTTTTTACATAAATAAATAAAAGCTGATCATTGTAAGCATCCTGTCAGTGACAAATGGTTTGTCTCAACACTCTAACTGATGCATTTGCAGGAGAGCTTGTTCTGTTGAAAAACACCAGACATACCCTTCCTTTAGATTGTAAGCTCCACGAGCAGGGCCCTCACATTCCTTCTGTACTGAAATGTATTGTAATTGTACTTTCTCCCTGATATTGTAAAGCGCTGAGCAAACTGTTGGTGCTGTATAAATCCTGTATAATAATAATAATACTGGCCAGATCACCAAGTGAAAATAAAGAAAAGAAAGCCTAAAAAAAAAAAAAAACTAATGCAGCCACCACATCTAAGAATTGGTAAGCTGCAACATAGTAAAAGTTTGCCTTTGGGTTTAATACATAAAGGCATAAGACATAATAATTATAGACATAATCAGAGTTGCCCAATCTGTCCATTTTCAGCCAGATCAGGCAAAGGTCATATCTCTGGGCATTAATTCCCAAAGGAAATGATCACACAGGTTAGAAAACCTTAAATGGTCGTTTTTGTTTCTAACAAAGCAAGCTGATACCAGCTCAGTGTCTGCTCTGCTGACTTCCATAGCATAAACACAAACTCCAGACTTAAGCCGGCCGCATATACGGAATTCTTCTGGTCAGCCTACATGATAAATGCAAATATCTAACAAATTCTTCCACCTGTGCTATAGGTGTAGATGGACAAATCCCCCCTATCGCCTATTGTATTCTGACAACTGCTTTGCTGAATCCCCAGAAAGTGACTGTATCTGATTGGATGCAGCTGCTGTCTGGCCAACAATTTTCCGCCTTCGACAAAAAGTCAACTGACCAACAGAGTTTTGTCATATGAAAGGAAGCTGGCAGGGTGTCACACTGATCAGATTTTGCAGGAAGCAGCTGAGTTGAACAGTGTATGGCCAGTTTATGTAGCAGCTATGAAAACCAACCTAGAGGGCTACATGGACCTGGAGAAAATGGGTGCTGAAGTCACAAATAAATGGATGGCACCAGGGGCGGACTGACAACTCATGGGGCCCCCGGGCAATAGGGGATCATGGGGCCCCTGTGTCCTTGCCCAAAGTCAAAAAGGCCTATGAAAAAGGTACCAGGAGCATCTCATGGGGCCCCCTACTGACCCCGGGCCCTCGGGTAGTGCCCGAGTTTCCAAATGGTCAGTCCGCCCCTGGATGGCACCATTGCTCACAGGGGTGTGATAATAAAAAAAAAAATCTGCATAGCAATTCATTTAGTGACAATGCATGTACATTCATTCTGTGCATATAGGGAAAAATGATTATTATTGGGCTATTTTCTGTGCTGGTTGAATATTCTTCTTTTATTTAAATCAGAAAATACCACAATAATAGATCATTTTCTATGATACTTCGTGAAATCTAGTGGGCAAATGCAGTATTTTCAGTTTTAAAGCAAAGAAAAGCAATTGACTAGCACAGGAAATAGCCTATTGCCATTCTTTGCCCCATTTGCACAGAATACATGCACTTTCACTGGGAGAACTGCTCTGCATTTTTTTTTAATAAACAGACCCCCCCCCCCCCCCCCCACTGTCCAAGCTAGGGACATCAACAGGTTTGGTATGACACACCCCGCTCCTGCAGCACATACTCCCCTTTAGGCCTCTTTCAGATCAGGTTCGCCTGCCCGTTTTTCAGGTGGACCCAATCGGAACCTCCATTCTCTTCTATGGAGCAGCGGGTGTAAACAGACATGTGTCCGTTTACACCTGCCGACATCCAGTCCGATCTGATCTGCAAAAAAATGGATGGATGGGAATCCAATTCCCCTTCTGTCCCTCGGATCGGGTCGGATAGAAATGGACAGAGCTGTCATTTGCTTGCTCAGCGAGGATCAGCAGAGAGATCCCCCGCTGAGCATGTGGATCCATTCAATGGGTCCCCCTGCTTGAAAGGACCCTTACTTCATCCCCCACCATGATGACAGGAGTTTTCCAGCTGGAGTTTACAAAGGGCTGAGGATAATCTCCTGTCCCTGAGACAGCAATGCGTCAGAGAAAGAGAAAGGAGTTTCATCCTCCTCCATACCTGGAAGCACCAGATACTGCCACACTCTGCTGGAGTGGTGGGTGAGCAAAGGCGAGATGGGGAGGGGGTAATAAAGCGAACATGTTGCTTTGCCCAGCAGGGACAACAGCAAATATTTTTTTTTAAATAAAATGTTAATATTTAACTTGTCGACTGCCTAATGCTCGGTCCATGGTAGCCCGGTCAGTCTGTGCTCTCAGCACACTTACTGAGCTGTCACTGACAGCTCTCAGGCAAGGATTCTGGTTGGGAGCAAGCTCTAAATCATGTGACTGCTGTGAGACAGTCACGGTGGTCACACGATACAGAAGCCACGATGCCTCCCTGGCACTTAAAGGGCTGCCATGACGTGGATTAAGAGGTTAGATTTTCTTTAAAGAAGAACTAAACCCATCAATTTAAAATGGCTGTAAACCTCAGACATGAAATATGAACAAACCATATCCCTCTATAATGTGTACTTGTCTCAATCCAGAGTACAGCTTGTCATTTGTGTCTGCTGCTTCATTTCTCTGCTATCAGCATAAATCACTTCTGATAACTTTTCCTGACACCAAGAGATAAAAGGTGACAGGGGAGGGACGGGACAGTGAGCAGGTTGAAAGCCTCAGCTCTGTTCCTGTGTGCAGGGGAAGGGGGTGTCTCTCTCCTCCAATCAGCTATCAGAGCTCTACTCATGGATGTAACTTCACCCCTGCCCCCTGCTTTTCACAGCTGAAAGATCCTGTGTAGATTCTTCACTTTGACTTGATGTAGAGAAAGGGCGGCTGCAGAACAAATACAACTTATGTAGGATGATTTGTTCCATCTATGTGTATCAGTTGAGACCAGTCACTTCACTGGCAAATGTGCGGGTTTACAACCACTGTAACAAGTTCAAAAAACTGTTATATTCCCAGCATTCCGGGATTGCTATCACATTGGCTTGTGCTGTCAACCAAACTGTCAAACCATCAAATGGATGGTGTCATAACTGATCACATGTGCAGCACCATGGCAGTTGCAGATAAAACAGAGGCTAAGATGGACAATTCCTTTGCTGAAAACAATAGAAGGGTTTAGTTCCGCTTTAATATGTTTTTTCAAATACTGACATCTTTTTATTTTTGGGGAAAAAAAATATTTCTAGGAAATGTATTTAGTGGTTGTTATAGGTGTTATCATCCGAAAAAATAAAGATCCTAAGATACCTGCAGATGATCTACAGATCTTAAAACTACTGGCAGTATACACTCACCAATCACTTTATTAGCTACACCTGTTCAATTGCTTGGTAACACAAATTGCTAATCAGCCAATCACATGGCAGCAAATCAATGCATTTAGGCATCTAGACATGGTGAAGATGACTTTCTGAAGTTCAAACTGAGCATCAGAATGGGGAAGAAAGGGGATTTAAGTGATGTTCAATGTGTCATGGTTGTTGTGCCAGACAGGCTGGTCTGAGTATTTAAAAAAAACTGATTTACAGGGATTTTCATGCACAACCATCTCTAGGGTCTACAGAGAATGGTCCGAAAAAGAAAAAATATCCAGTGAGTGGCAGTTGTGTGGATGAAAATGCCTTGTGCAATTTTAATAAATCTTTTGGTTGAACTTTTCTACTACACTATAAGCTGGCATTCTTTCTTTATATGGTGTTGTGTCACCCGATGGGAGTTTTGCTGCTCAGAATACCTGAGATCTGGAGAAGTGTCTTATAACACCAGGAGAAGCCTGCATTAGGATTTTGTGCTGTACCAGCTGGATTCATGTAGTGTATGATTTGGCCGGTCCTTTGGGTGCTCAAATGTTCTGGTAAGAGGCTATCTTATTGGGTGGTTTCCTTCAAGCACTAGCTTCTGCCTGTATATGTGGATCCCATATGGACTTTGTTGCCACCTGTGTGTGTTTACAAGTAATGCCTTTTGTGATAAAATTAAGATTCACGTATTGATAGCGTGGCAATTTTTATGATATCACAGCTGTAACCCAACCACATGCAGCAAAGATGTGTACCTGGTGCTTCCCCACACTCGTATATGAAGAGAAGAAGGAAAGCGATTTGGGATTGGTCCAGAGGTAGGTTCAAAGTGAACCCAGCATGTTCATGGACCCGCCAAACTATTGTTGTCGGTCCCTCCTTCTGACCATGTTTCTCAGTACACCAATTTTCAGGGTCACAATCTACAGCTCCCCCCACACCTGCTGAACCCAGGGGGTCTCCCCCCCCCCCCTCAGCTCCTGTCATATTTTAATTTGGCACGGCTGTACGTGGCTTTGTCTGCACCGCTGCATCAGTCATTCATAGAGATCTGTGAATGAAAATCCTACAAAATCCACCTGCCACCACAGAAGGCACTGTAACTCTCAATGGAGCACAAGAGCAGTGACCTCATCACATCTGTAGTCCATTGATACTTCCTCCAGCCCTGTTATTGAAGGTACCTACCTCTGTATGGACCGGGACTCTAGGAGCCATATCCACTGATCACAGCTCCAATGCAAAATAAACAAATAAATGGACATTTTTGCTTTTTGCAGAAAAGTCGGATTCTTTCATTAAAGCTGCAGATTTACAAATACTGAAAACAACTATTCAAAATGACACTAACATGGTAATGCAGAATTTGGGGTCTACATACTGTATACTGTACATAGACTTCACATGAAAACTGATTGACTTCACCTTTATTTTTTTCTTTCATGTATTTTAATGATTATGCCGCTATTTCCATATCTGAAGGATTATACTGCTACTATTATGTGAGAGCATGATGTTATTTTTGTCACTACCATAAATAACTCCTTCCAGGTCCATGGCTGCTCTGGATGCTGTGACTACACACATGGATGATGGCAGCCTGTGCATGTGGCTGTCCTGACAACAAGACAGAGGTCTTCCAAGGGCATACAAGTCTATAGATCTTCATACAATATTTACCATGGGTGTCAGAACATGAATGACCCCTATGATAAGAGGCAGTGTCACAGCACAGGTCCATCCAGTGTTCTTCTAAGGGCACTGTCAGATGGTACCTGCGTCACTGCTGGAGGCAGCACAGACGGTGACAGACGACTCTGCTCCTCGGACATTGTCACTGTGACTCAGAGATACACTGCAGATCATCACATCAACAACAGCATCCTACTAACTATCACCACTCCATCCTTTATACCACACAGCAGATACAATCCAGAGCAGGAGGAAATGCCACCGTCTACTGCCGTCCACATCACACAACCTCCCCTCACCATCTCAGCAAACACACACCAGACCAGGAGAGATCTCTCCTCCATAGAGGGTCTATGTGTGATGTGACATTACATCACCATATGATCACACACCAGACCAGGAGAGATCTCTCCTCCATAGAGGGTCGATGTGTGATGTGACATTACGTCACCATATGATCACATATATACCAGGAGAGATCTCTCCTCCATAGAGGGTCTATGTGTGATGTGACATTACGTCACCATATGATCACATATATACCAGGAGAGATCTCTCCTCCATAGAGGGTCTATGTGTGATGTGACATTACGTCACCATATGATCACACACATACCAGACCAGGAGAGATATCTCCTCCATAGAGGGTCTATGTGTGATGTGACATTACGTCACCATATGATCACATATATTCCATACCAGGAGAGATCTCTCCTCCATAGAGGGTCTATGTGTGATGTGACATTACATCACCATATGATCACACACACCAGACCAGGAGAGATCTCTCCTCCATAGAGGGTCTATGTGTGATGTGACATTACGTCACCATATGATCACACACACACCAGACCAGGGGAGATCTCTCCTCCATAGAGGGTCTATGTGTGATGTGACATTACGTCACCATATGATCACACACCAGACCAGGAGAGATCTCTCCTCCATAGAGGGTCGATGTGTGATGTGACATTACGTCACCATATGATCACATACATACCAGGAGAGATCTCTCCTCCATAGAGGGTCGATGTGTGATGTGACATTACGTCACCATATGATCACATACATACCAGACCAGGAGAGATCTCTCCTCCATAGAGGGTCTATGTGTGATGTGACATTACGTCACCATATGATCACACACATACCAGGAGAGATCTCTCCTCCATAGAGGGTCTACGTGTGATGTGACATTACGTCACCATATGATCACACACATACCAGACCAGGAGAGATCTCTCCTCCATAGAGGGTCTATGTGTGATGTGACATTACGTCACCATCTCAGCAAACACACACCAGACCAGGAGAGATCTCTCCTCCATAGAG